GAAGTGCACTCAGTGGGAAATGCAACATAAAAAAAAATGTTTGCACAGATGCAGCCAACACTTGGCTTAATTGGTTTGTTGTACTGTCTGGTAGTTTGGATAAATCAATTTGCTGTGGTGTTTCAGTTATCTGTGACATGTAAAGGGTTTACTGAAAGGATGTCTTCCACCAAATTCCTTAGTGCCGAACCGCCTAATCTACAGGCAATCCCCACTTAGCGCTCTTAATTGGTTCCTGAAAAACTGAGCATTAAGCGAAAGTTTGTGATGACTCAAGATGGCGACCACAAGCGTTTTTAATGACCCAAGATGGTGACCATGAGCATTATAACAAAAGTCGCTGAGTGCTAAGTGGAATCGGGTATCAATTTAAAATGAGCGTTACAGCGAAACAGCGCTAAGCGACACCGTGTCAAGCGGGGGTTGCCTGTATTCTGTATTCTTTAGTTTCATTCTCTTTCCAGGGGAGTTGATAGCAAAATGTCTTTCCCCTCGCTGAGATGAGGGACGAGCCAAAATCACAACCATTCATATTACTTGAAAATCTGTTAGGCATTTGGTTTCACATGGGTTAGGGCTACAGCCCTGCGTGCTAGGTTGGGTGCGCAGGACAATGTGGGTCCCAATCCTGGCTCATGCGGGGTGGATGGGGCAGCACAAGGCCCCAGGACCTGATTCCAGCTGGGGCGGGAATGGGGCCCCAGAGCTCAACCCCAGAGTGTGGGACCAAACACCACTGTTTTACTTGAACCTCCTGTATACCACCACAGGTCCAAAATGTGTAGTTAAACCTAAAGCAGTGAAGTCTCCTTTTTCTAGGAACAGGGAGAAATTCCCCAGTCTCATGGCGGAGTCAGGAGATGTGAGTTTTCATCTTCCTCTTGTACATACAACAATTAAAAGATCTTTGGGAAAATCAGCAACCTCTCCATCCTGCGGCAGCAGTGCCACAGTGTTCACTGCAGCAAAGAAGCAGCGATTTGGCCCAACATCACCTACAGCATCTTGGCACTGCAGTAAAGGGCCCCGGGAACTGGCAGAAATGTGAGAGAGGGACGAATAGGACTATCCTGACGGCTCCTCAGAAAAACCCCCCAGAGGAGGGCCCTGCCTCCTGAAGCCCTGGGAAAGCTCAAAGCTGGCCATTCTTCGGACCTCTAGGCAAGAACATTTCTCTCAGGCCTCAAAGAGACACGAATCTACCTCAGATCTGAGAACAGAAGAACCACTGCTTGTGCCTGTGGCGGGTGCAGAGATCCCACCTCAGGAACACAGCTGGGTATTCGTATCCCTCTGCTGTTTCCACCATGCGAGGCGGGCCAGTAGGGGGTGCTCCTGTGTTGAGCCGCCCACCTTCCTGCGCCCGACCACCTTCCAGGCTCCGAATGCCTCCCTAGGGGCGCCTTATGTCCGGCCGACCCCTCTCCCAGAGCACACTCGCTAGTCTGGGGGTAATGTGCTGCCACCACCCCAAGAATGGACTGTCTCGCAGCCCTGTGTCCTTGGGGTAACACAGGCCTAAAGTCCCACGGGTACTCGACCCAGTACAGGCACTTGGGGTACTTCCCCAAGTCCGGGGGCAAAAAGGTATAGTCTCCCTTAGTCCACAGACCTAAGGGGTCTCTTAGGCATAATTTAGACCCACCCCTCAATAAGTCTCCCACACCAGTCAAAAAGGAGAACTTTATTGATTACA